GAATGGAGCACATTGGTCTGAGAGTAGAATGATGCTAACAAGTGTCCAGTTCAGTTTTCTTACAGTAAAGATTTGGGGGACAGAGGGAGCATGTCTCAAAAATAAAATATTCAGAGACAAATATTCGAGTTCATTTCAGAATGTGGTTGTGCAGATGTGGCTATGCCTGCTTTTACCTGTGAAATGGCAGTTTCCGTGACTCGCTCTGTACAGATCCTTGCCCCATTTCCTTCAGCATTCACTGTTATGAAGCTGCCAAACTTTTGTTTGATCTTGCAGCCTTAATGTCTCTTTAATCTCAGATTGTGCAGGAGTGTGTATATAAATAAACCATGGAGGCATTTTACAAGAGATTCATAACCTTCTTGCAGAGGTCTTTTAAACTACAACCTGAGACCATGGGTCATTGGGCAGGGGGTGGAGGAGTGGTGCAGGATCTTTATTTGTTCCTGTATTTAATCTTTGATGCAAGCTGAGAACAAATTTTTTTTCATCTTTGCAGGTATCAGCTACTGACCATGTCAGAGTTCCAGGATGCTCACCTTGCAGAGGTGAAACCTCTGGTGGAGAAGGAGGAGGTAATTCTAAACCTTTAGTGCTTATGTGTATTATTTTAGGGGTGTTGTTGGAACTGCACATGTGTTCTTAGATTAATTCTAGTATGTAGTATAGAAGAAACCAGTAAGAGGAACTGGAGGTGGAATAAGAGGGTCTTTTTTTAACAATGCAAAACTAAGTCTTGATTATTTGATCTTTCTTGGTTCTTGGTATTATTTTTCTCTAGTGCTAATCTGCTGGTGACACTTTCATTTTCTGGATGATGATAGGGCTGTGTGTCTTTGCCCAGTTGACACTGTTCAAAATAGCTAATCTCATAGATCCATCTGTGCCTGCAGACTTCTCAATGTAAAGGTACAAACTTTGCGCTGTTAGGTCCCTTTCAAGGAGGCAAAGAGCCTTTACTTTTCCTCTGCGCACATCTGAGTCCAGAGGTGTGACTGTGCCCCAGCTATGCCTCTCTGACTGTTCTGAGCTGTGAGTTACAGCCAAACTGCTACCAGGCCTGCAGCCGGCGGGGTGTGCGCAAGCCTCAGCTGTTCCTCTGGGGTTGAAGCGTAGAAACATCTTCAGCCTTCTTTTTGCTTAACCTTGTTGTACTGCTTTCCGTCTGTTTTTTTGCACCACTTTTCTCCAAAACTCTGCCCACTGTATCTGGGTTCAGTGGCTGTTTGACTCTGTTTGATGGTAGCAATGCTCTGTGCTTTGGTATGTTCATGGCAAATAATTCACTGTAATACGTGAAAAGAACCTCTCAGCTTTTTTCTTGAATCAAAACCAAAATTTTTCTTTTATTCCCAAGGACTGTAATTCTTGATGATGATGTATATAAATGCATTGGGGTTTTTCTGTTTTTTTTTTTTTACACTAGAACTATTCATTGCTCTATCTGCTACTTTCTTTTTCCTTCCCTACCTCTTTTGCGTAAACACTTCAGAAAATCATTTCCACTTGTGACTGCAGTGAAATGGCTAGATAAACTTTAAACACAGCTCCTTTGCCAAGGACATTGCATGAAAGCAGAGCTTGTTTGGATACCAGCGAATGCAGCACTCAAACTTTTCAGAAACTAAGATCCCTTTTTAATGCCGGTATTGTTCAGCAGTAGCAAAGCAGATACTGAGCAGAAGTCCTATGGGTACCGAAATGCCTTTGCTTCAAACTTCAGAAATATCTTAAAACACCAATAAGCTTCTTGGGTTTCTGTAGCATGCAGATCAAAAGTTGGTATCTTGACAATTAAACCTGTATCACAAATCAGAGTGGTTTGGGGTGGAAGAGAGCTTAAAGATCATCTAGTTCCAACCTCCCTGGGTAGGGACGCCTTCCACTAGACCAGGTTGCTCAAAGCCCCATCCAACCTGGTCTTGAACCCTTCCAGGGAGGGGGCATCCACAACTTCTCTGGGCAACCTGGTCCAGTGCCTCATATGCTTTTTTCATGAAGTTACCTTATGTTTTGTCTGCGTGGGGAAGCTGGCAGAGAGTTTGATTTCCTCTGTGGCCATGCCTAACACGTAGGGAAGGAAGTTACTGGATGTATTTTGAGAAAGTGGAAAAGATTTCCCTGAAGGACACTCAGCACATACTGAGGTTAACAGTTACATCCTGGCTTGTGCTTAAGATATCTTCTACATCTGAGTCTTTGTTCCTGGACAATGATGGTGCCTTATTTCATACACTGTCTAGACAGATGCCATATCTACATATTCCTTTCAACTCCAGACCCCATGGAAACACCAGTGTATGAAACTAGCTATGTTTAAAAGGTCATAAGACCAACAGTATAGTAATATTTTAAAAAAAAATCAGATTGTCTTAAGTCTGTGTAGAATTACTTCCACAAGCTAGTCAGCTCTTTAGGTACCTGTTTGTATATACAAGACATTGCCTAGTTACCTAGAGACCATGGCTCTAGAGTCTGGTGAGTCCATAATTATGGATTGGACTGCAATGCTCTGAGGCCCACCATATGAGATGGTATTGCCCAAGAAAGCAGCTGTATTGCTTCTGGCGTCTTCCATTCTTAATTCACCTGGGCTTCTGGGACTGTGTGGCCTCCCTGCCAGAGTTCTAAGCTTTGCTTTTTAACTCTGTACTGCTTTTTCAAGCCTTGGTTTCTTCTTGGTTTCCTCTGCAGTGTAACAAGTGTCTGTTTGGCTGCTCTTCCCTCTCTTTTCAGCTTCCCAGTGGAAACATGAGCTTGACTTCTTTTTTGTCTTTTGGTAGAAGGAGGTGGCTATAAGACGCTTCTTCCTTTGAAGCTGTAAGCCTCTTAAGCTATTGGAAATGGGGAGGATGTCACAAAACTGCTTTGGTGGAGATCCTTGACAAGTGTAGGAGTTTGTCAGTATTAGCGATGTCTGGTCATGGGTTGGAATAGAATGGAATATTTCATCTGGAAGGAACTACAACAATCTAGTGCAACTGCCTGACCACTTCAGGGCTGACCAACACTTAATGCATGTTGTTAAGGGCATGGTCCAAATGCCTCTTAAACACTGACAGGCTCAGGGCATTGATCACATCTCTAGGAAGCCTGTTCCAGTGTATGACCACCCTGTTGGTAAAGAAATGCTTCCTACTGTCCAATTGCCATGTCCAGCCAACCTTCTAAACATAGCAAGGCCTAATTTTGGCTAGGATAAAGCTCTTTCCACGTTCCACATCATATAACTAAATCCCAGGAGCAACTGTGGTGCAAGTACTCGGTGAGTGCTCGGTGTCTTTCCATCCCTAGGCAGGACTGAGGTGGGCTGTTGGCTGTCTCATGGCTACAATAAGCAATGGAGAAAAGTTCAGTGTTTTATTGCTCTGACTTGTCCAGTGATTTAACTGTAACTGAAGATGCACCAGCTTTTGTGCTTTAGTTTGCTGGTCTGTAATCTAGTATTTTACTGCTGTCAAGTTCTTTATGAAGATTAGTGAGTAAAAGTTCTTGGGTGAGTTTTGGTGTTCAGCAAGAGCTTTCACTGAATGAAAGGTCAGGACAGAGCTCTCAGCTGTAGGAGCAGTGGGTTAGAGCACACATGTCCTGGCGCAGATTTCTGTAGCTACGAAAGTTACCTGTATTAACATATTGAAATCTCTTCACAGGCTATCACTCGCCTCCTTCCAGACTTCGATGTTCAGGTAAGTAAAGCTTTTATATTTTTTTTTTTTTTTGCAAAAGAGGAAACTAGATTGCAAAATGTGGTCAGAAATGACTGAGTGCTCACCTGAAATACTCTTACTGTGGGAGAGAGGTCTGAATGGGGCTCTGACGTAGCAATGTGAAGGCAACTGCAGGAGGTCTTTTCATACTGAAGCTGAGAAAGTTTCATCCAAAAGGAGAGACTGGGTTGCAAGCAGTTCTGTTCTTGCTAAGATAATGAAATTCTTCAGCAGTGGCAGTGAAAGCAAAATATTCACCTCCCACAAGGACACACACTTCCCCAATTAATTTGCTTTCATTAACAGTGTGCATGCATTTCCTCGGAGGAAGTGTCCGTCTTGATGTATCCAATTATGCTGTTGAAGGTTTGCAAAAGATTCCCGAAGCCTGTGGAGCAGCGGAAGGAGCTAAGCAATCAGTTTTGCCCATATCAAGAGTGACGGTAGTTTCCATATGTTTGTTTACAGCCAGAACAGAAGAGTTCATAAAGTGCACCACTATGTCAAATGCTGGCTTTCCACTTTCCCTGTGTCATGCTTTTGAAAGGTTACTTTGTAATTCTCTTAGCTCCCCTTGTGTACTATCACCATTTGGACTTCTGACTGAGAAGTTTGCCCTTGCTGGTTCTTAAGCTGAGACTAAGAAAAAGCACCACTGTCAGTCAGGCTGAGTTGAACTAGGGGGGAGACCAGTGAGCTTGTACTTGCCTCCACAAAATAAGTGAGCATTGAATTCCCGTCACTGAGGGCAAGAAGGAATACGTGTTGGGAAAAGAGGCTTTCTGGGTGTCTTAATTTTATCAACGGGCTTTAGGGAGGGAGGTAGATCATGCAGGAATAAGGAAAGCTATTAAATTGTTCTAGTCTCTTGAACGTGCAGATGGAGGTCCTTGGAGGAAAGAGCTATGTACTTTCTAGCATGTTGCACTTTATTTGCACCTGTCTATAATTTATTCAATGCTGCGCAAATTGGCTAAAAATCTAGCACAAACTCAGCAGTCTTTTCCCTGGAAATTGAGTCAGTTATCTTGAACATCTTTACTGTCTTTCAGAGGGTCTTATTTCTGTAGTAAAACTGTAGCTTACATTAATCCTGCGTCTTAGCTCTCATCCTTTCTAATGATGAAATTTACTGCCTGAAGGCTTGATGAATGTAAGTTAAAGTTGTCACCATGCGGCTTCCTGCAGGACTGTCCACAGCATGAGAGAAGCTTTCTGTTTGTGTCCAGATTGATCACTTGTTCTAAATAAATCTGAATCCCAGATTAAGTCTGCTAACAGGAATACTGCAGTATTTTGATTAAGAATCCAGAAGTGACCCATATTTAATTTCTATTCTTGGAATAAATTTGCTTGGTTTGTAAACCATGTATATATAGATTTTTTTTTTAACTTGCAAGATCAAATTCTCTAAGCCTTTTTGTTGTTTTCCATGTTTTGGATTAACTCTCGCTAATCCAGACGAGCATTTCTTGTCATTTAGCCCTGTTCTGCCAGCTTTTGCTTTCTTAATGATCTTTCTTTCTTCAAGTTTAATCTTTGATTGTCCTAGTTCAAGAAGGAGAAATATGGAAGAATAGTCTCAATCTCTTGTGTTAAGGACCAAAGCTGAGCCTCCTTTGCAGCAGAAGTTCTTAAAATCAGAAGTATCCTATCTATCTTTTTTCAGTTCTTCTGTGGTTAATTTATGAGGGAGGTGGTTTGAAGCTGTTAGGAGAGAGTTGGTTGCTTAGTTCATTAGAAGTTCATGTGTAGCCCTGGAGGACTCTGGTCACGTGGGACTGACACTGAAGGTCATGTGTGATCTTAATGAGAAACCTGTCCCTTGAGCCAAACTTGGGAAGAGGATGGACCTGGCCAGGGAAGGAGGTCATCAGCACTTGGCAGGATGGAGCTTCTTATTTAGTGTCTGTGTATGGATGTGGGTGTCCACCATAGCCCTTGCAATTGCTCCATCCTTCTGGGGACGAGTTATGCTGTGTTCAGTCAACAATTTTGTTTCTGCCGCTAGTGAAAAGTGGTGACTGCCCATGAGGTGTTTTGGTTGCAATAATAAATTTTATCTAGGTATTCAGGTTTGGAAAGATAGACTGCTGTTTTAGATAGACTTGAGTTAAACATGCATTTCCATTTTTGAAGTCAGCCCACTGTGTAGCGCAATATTGCCCTTGTGAAAGCACATGTTGCAGGACATACTCTCTGGAGGAAAGCTTTCATGGAGTTACCGGGGATGGCCAAGACAAGAGGTGGAAGAAATGGCAGTACTGAAATACCCCTAGTCAGCACTATATGTCTGTCTGTCTGTGGCACCCACCTGAACACGTAAGTGAAGGTCCCTAGGCTCCCAAGGAGAGGACTGTTCCTGACCAAATCTGTTTTAGCACGATTAATGATAAACTGGTGCAGGGCAGTGTGCCCTGTGGTGCTTTGTTGGCTTGATGCCAAACACATTTTAATTGTATTTCCAGTTTGAAGTATTTGCCTATTCTCTAGGTTCATAGCACTGCAGCCAATGGAAATCTGGCTCCTTGTCACCGTATATATTCTTTTAACTTTGTGTTTCAGAAGCTAGCAGTCCATCAGCAGACTGCTTTCTCAATAACTAAGCAAAACTTTCCAAGCTGTGCGGCAGCTGTAGGTGGCAGAGATGAGTCTGCCCCTTGCAATTCATGGCTCGTGGTCACCTGTATCTACCAGCACGCAAGAGCTGTTTCTGAAGGAAAGGCATGGGGGTGGTTGTGCTTTTGTGCTTTTGCAGAGCAGTGTAACCCAGTGCTAATCAGACTAGGAGGAATCCCAGGGCAAAACTATAGCAATAATCTGCTGCAGTTCCTGCACTGAAGTTTTTGTTACTGGCTTCCAACTTAGCAGAGTCACACTCACATCTAAAGTCATCATACTTATCGGTGTACCCAACTCACAACCTGAACTGGGGAACCTTTTTCTTAATGTTTCTGACTTAAAATAGAAATTTTAACCAAAAAAAAAAGAGAAAAATATCTGGAAAGGTGGGCATTGGGGTCTTAGAAAAGCATAAGATGAATGTAAATAACTATTTCTTAGTAGGAAGAAATAGGGGGAAAATGCTAAATAACTTCAGGGCAAAGGGCATTTGAAACCCAACATTGCAATACCACATTAAAAGCTCAAATATTTTTGATCTTCAATGTACTGAAAAAAAGGTGAAAAATAGAATATATGGGTATTAGTATATTAAATTTACTAAGTGATATGGACTTAAAATATACTGTCTCCTAGGAATTTAAAAACAATTTAAATCCTCTTTAAAAGCTCTGAAGTTTTTCCCACAGTTCTGAGGCAAGAGAATGGAGGTGTGTTTAAAAGGCATAATATTATAAATTAGAATAAAAGCATGACATAGTAGCTGAGGATTAAGTGTATTGGAAAGCTTTAAAATAATCTTGATGGAATGAGTATTTTACTTAAAATACAAAATGTGGAGTTTTCAGCAAAATGTGCAATGTGTTTGGTTTTCCTTTAGATAACTAAAGTGTTGTGGTTGCATATTCTATACTTTAGAATAAAATAACCTGTTTGTAAACATGTTCCTCAGTCCACGTCTTCCCTAGCCGTGGTGGAGAGGGGAAGGAATAAATGGGCTCTCCTGTGTTACTGACTTACAAATTGCCTCCCCCTTCTAACCTCATGATAAAATATCAAAAAATGTCACTTGACCCCCCCCAAAAAATCTGCTTTGGAATGGATCAGCTTCTTCAGACTGAGAGCCTCTCTTAAATTGCATGTGTCAGAAGTATTGTTGTGTGGGTTTTTAGGGCACTAAGACTGCACCTCTGTTAAAGTGAGAGATGTGAACAGATGGTGTGTTTGTCTTTATCCTTCTATCGGATTAGTGTACCTTGGATTTTTTTCCAAGATAGTGTTTTAATACAAATCAGTTGAAGAGCCTCTTACTATAATGTTGACGTTGATTTGGATGTGCTGCCATCTGTTTTCAGTGCTCTGCATGTTGAAAACGTCTGTCCCTGCATCATGTAGACAAATCTCTTGATCTTTGATAGGTTCAATAGGGATGTGAAATTGATGGTTTGATGTCACCAAAGAAACTGGTGTGAATTGATTATTTTTTACGAGAGTCTTTGGAATATTCACCATTAAGAATTTATGCTAATAGAAAATAGCACAACTCTCTTGAACTAGGGGAGTCTTACTGTGAAGATAATGAGGAATTAAACCAATTGTTAAATGGACTGTGATTTATGCCAGTAATTAGGAGTATGGTCATCTGTCATCTCTGAACTATTTTTACTTGACACTGAGTTTGAACTAGACTTAGGCTTCTATTTCCAGAAGAACTAGGTGTGGAGGTCAGTGGGATGTGCAGGTTCAAGGGTCTGGCTTTATCTTCCATGGACAGAGTTCTCTCTTTCATGCACAAAGGAGAAGGATGCCAAATTTTGAAAGATGGTCACTCCAAAAAAAAAAAACCACATTCTCAGTTTTCAGTGCTGTTTCCTGAAGGATCTAGCAATAAAAATCCAATCATGTATCTAACTGAGGAGGAAATGTCAATATTCCACACTTAGCAGGAGGTGTGTTACACAGTATAGCTTACTTTCATTACTGGTGTTAAGGTTGCTGAGCTATCAATTTTTATGCTTTATATTGAAAATATCTAAGTACAGAAGGAAGGATGAATATGGAAAACATAAATTGCTATTATTATTAATAGCCCTTTTTATTAATTTCTATCTATTGCTACAGCAAATCTCTTCTGGAGTATGTATAATGAGTGTACCTACAATACCTTATTTTCTGCCAAAAATGAAATGTACAGTAGCATTAGTATAACTGGTATGGGAATACTTTAGACTAAACTGCTTATCTACAAGGAAAATTCTAGATTTCATATATTTAAAGTCCTTGGTTTTGTTGTGGAGAATCATTCTGGCTTGGACTAATTTTTCAGTCTTCTGTGTTCTCACTGGAAACTCTATTCCTGGCTTTTAGGAAAGAACTTGCTTCTGGTTTAATTTAGAGTAAGTTTGGGATGTTCTAACATTTGCGATGACAACACCTCAAATGAAGTTAAACTTACCAAAACCTGCTGGAAACAGCAACAGGGAAGATTGTACTAATTCCCAGGTTTGACATCTGGCACTTTGTACAGTGTATGGCAAGGACTTAGTTTATCTTTGATGTCTGAGCTCTATTGCGCAAGTACTTCTCCTGGTCAGACCTGACTCAAATCCTATTTAAGAATGACGTCCTCATGAATTAGTCTAGTTTGGCTTTTCTAGCTGGGCATTATGGGAGTCATAAGCCTATGCAGGATAGCAGCTTGTCTATATAACCTGGTTTCCTAGTTGGACAAAGCAGAAACCAGCTAGTGTCCTCTGTCTGACTTGCTGGATATATCACCCTATTTTGCCTAAAGATGGTGCTGGATGTGGAAGACACAGCTTACCTGCTCAATAATGCAGTGAGTATGCAGGGGGATGAATCGCTGAGGAGACATAAAAGCTGAATGTTAGTGTTTTGGTGGAGTGTAGTTCAGATAGGTAGTGGTGATACTCAGCCTGCCTGGTGTAGAAATGTGTGGGACCTTGATTCATTGCAAGGATTGTACCTTAAAACTGATTTAAATGTGTAATTGCAATGAAAATAGGTAAAATTTGGAATGGTATTGCCTAGCATCTTTCTTTTCAACAAAATGCATGGTATATTTCATGTAGCAAATTACCAAGCTGAGATTTAATTTGAATTAATACTTCAGACCTCTGAAGAGCTTCTGGGTTTTGCTCTGTAAGGGTTTTTGCAGAGGCTGTACGCTCCTGATTTCTACAGCATAATTTGTAATAGATTTGAATTTAACTTGGACTTTGCCTCTGGGCATTACTGCACGGAGCAAGTCAAGCAAGGCCAGCAGCAGAGAGTACACTGTACTGAATGACATGGAGATCTGGGTCCTGTACAGTAAATAAAATATTGTGATGAAATGCTAAGACTGGCTACTAACTATATACTGCCTTGACTGTTACCTGGGTGTAACAGTACTGTAAATAAGTGTCATAAATAACTCTTGTTTTGTGATTCCCTGTATACATGTAGGCAAAATAATAAATCGTTTATATACATCTGAAGTTCAAGTGCAAAATAAAGAAAAAATTACTCCGTATGTTGTGGATGTTAGTTCAACCCAAGTCACATCTAGCTTACATAGACAGCCAATAGATAAAAGATGGTACTGAGGGGATCTTTGATTTGATAATAAAGGTGTGCCTAGCTTGAAGATCATTAAATAGTACAAACTCCTGTTATGTCTAATAGCAGTATGCTTCTTAACATTGTTTCCCTGATAAATCACCACAGGGATGTTGTGGACATGATGCTCTATACCAAACTTTAGGCAGTTGGGTTTATGCTCAGGTGTATGCATAGCAAGCCATAAAGCTGACATATGTAGCGGTCGTGTTTATTGGGGAAGGGTAATATAATCACAAGGCTCCACAGTGTGATAAGGCTTTATGGTAAATACAGTCTACTTAATACTGCTTTCTTTGGGGAGTAGTAATTATTTGCTGAGTTAAAGTCTTTTTCCTAGAAAACAGAAGTAATTTCTTTTGGCAACTTACACTTTTGCAAATGTCGGCAGTTGTAGTTGTAAGCTGCTGTTATTTTAGGTGTCGTTGCACCAAACTGCTTTCTTTTTTTTTTTCTTACTCTGCCTTTTAATGAGGTTAACTATTTAGCTAGTCCCTCAGCATCTGGTTAGAGGTTGCAACTTAAGGGTTTCTGTAGTTGTCTGTAGACTGGAGTAGGTGACAGCTGAACATGGAACATTAGCAGAGGGCCCCACTGTGGAGCAGAACAGGGTGGGTGGGAATTGCAGAGACATCGGGGCTGCAGGCAGACCCAGTGATGGGGCAGGACCTGTGCTCCTGGGCACGCAGGTGTTCAGTGGAGTACTTGGACAAGCCCCTAACAGATTCCTTCTGTTCTTCACCAGGAGCAAGATGTGGAGACTGTGCATGGCTCGGTCCGTGTCACCATGTGTGGGACTCCCCGAGGGAACCGGCCGGCTATCCTCACCTACCATGACATCGGGCTGAATCGTAAGTAAACTTTTGATTTTGTAGCACAGGTGTGAGCTAGTTCCTTAACACTACTGCCGTAATGAAAGGTGTGGAAGCTGTTGTGGTTAGGAAACCTTTCGCAGGTCCTTCCTTGTTTATGTGCATCCCAACCTGTTAGATGGTACCTAATTCCGGTCTTACAGCAAGTTTAATTCTCAGATTTTTTTTTTATCCTTGCAAGGCAAATAATTACCTCTCAATATATTTCACTTGGAGTGAAAGATCTCTGAATGCTCATAGTGACTATGTATAAATGCTGTAAAAACATCTGTACGAGGTGGCTGCAGCATTGGAAACAACATTGCTGGTGCTTTGTCTTAGGTTTCTGTCTGATAACCAGTCTTATGCTGCCATGGGTCTATATGAATTACATGTCAAATCAGGATGACAAATTGAGTGGTGGCATTGTGTTCTTAGTCAGTATTAAGAAAGTAACTTTGATAAATGCCTTTTATCTTATCTGACTTATCCAAGAATATAATGACCTAATATCCAGATGGGCTGTAGTGTGTTCTTTTCACCAGTACTGTTTACTTCACACAATTTACTGTTTCTTGATCAATTATCAATATTTACGTTTAAACCCACCTGCAAATCTTTAAAGTCTGGCTATTGCTAGGTGTGGATATTACTCATAAGAAAAGTCTATTTCCTTGCCTGTTTTTTGTGGAACTGCCTTACTTTACTTTGGAATTTCAGTGGGTCAGGGCAGAGCTTAATCTGGATCTCATCTTTGAATAAGACTTTTAACTTTCCGGAGTTACAAAGTCTACCTTTATGATGAATAAACTTTCTCTCCCTTTGAAAGGGGAGGAACCTTTTCCCAAACCTGCATATTCTCCTAAAGCTGATTTTTAGCTAAAAATTATTTATATTCTGCAGTGGGTTTGCTTGTGTGTTGTAGTGTGAGGACATTCAGAAACACACACAGAATACTGAACCATTTTCTAGGCACCTTAAAGCTACAGAATTCATGCTTTTCCACTTCAGGAGGAAAATGTGCTAACCATCTCCCCACATTAATACTGCTTAAAAATCAGAAACCACTTCACCTCAAAGCTGGGAGCCTACAGCACTGAGTATCCCAGAAGGACGCTTTTGTCTTGAGCTGCCTGCAGCAGCCGATCATGTAATGTTTATCTTGTAATGTTTGGGCAAAAGCACAAGTCACGATCTCAGCCTTGGATACTTTTTTCCTCTATCTGTTTTGACACAATCCAAAGAAAAAAGACTGGACAAGTAAATGGATAACTTCATCTAAGCCAAAACCTGGGATGAATGTTCTTGACTGCATTTTTAGTATTTTAACTTTGCATAAAGAACAATTTTTTGAGGTTTTGGTGTACCAAGCAAATACTTCTGGCAGGTGCCAAAATAACACGGATAAATCGTAGCTGGCCATGAGGAAGGAGTTGTTCAGGGTTTTTGCTTCAAGGAATTAAAGGAAGTTGGCAGAAGTTACTTTGTATCAGGGCTTTACTGGTCTTTCCTCCTTAGATATAAAGAGTTGCCACTTTTCCCAGGCTGTAACAAAGCTCACCTGATTGAACCAGCTTTACATTAACCTGCAGGACAGGTTAATAAATGATTTTATTATAGCTGCAAACTTACTATTTTCCCCTCAGCGTAATTATTCCATATTTTCTTTCCCTTCTCAAGATAAAACTTGCTTCAATCCTCTCTTCAACTTTGAGGATATGCAGGAAATCACCCAGCACTTTGCAGTCTGCCATGTGGATGCACCTGGTCAGCAGGATGGAGCACCGTCTTTCCAAGCTGGGTGAGTTGTCAGGGAAACATCCCATCAAAAAACTAACAGCAAACACAGTAGTTGACTTTTGAACTTAAATCCTGACACTGTTTCTAAGGTACTGGAGCTCTGAGCTCTGTTCTGTGCCAGTCCACAGTAGACTTTGGGGCTGTAATTTTGTGTTTTATCTCTGATAACTAGACTGCTTGTAAAGCAATTCCTTGACAGATGTCTACATCCAAATTTAAATATCGAGCTACCTTGTTTTGTAACGGCATTCTGAATACTGATACAAAACTAAACTATAAACAAGATAGACTTTAGCCACTATATAATGTCTTTCCTAAATCCATGTTTTTTATGAAATGGCAGCATGGTGGATGTTGATAAGTAAACTTAACCTACCTGGAAAATCTGAGTTGTTGGACAGTAACAAAGCAACGTACCCATACAGAATATCATAGATAGCTGCCTGCTCCGGACTGTATCATGTATGGTGCTGTAACTCTTGGAAACCTTGTGTGCCATGAGCATCATCTTTTCCAAAATGATTGTCCCATTTAGTTCAAATGAGACAGGTTTGCCTTAAGATGTCCCTTGGACAGGAGTCAGCTTGGTTGAGGAAGGGAGCAGCCAACATGCCAAGGGGAGGTTACAAGGCAAGGAACAGTTGTTCTGTAAGAACTAGGTATTAAGGAGCTTATATGTACCCTTATTGTGTGAGTCAGTCTATTTCCCGTCTTAATTTTTAAGCTGATCTGATGCTGAGGAGGTCACAATGGGCCACGTTCTCAGTGTTAACTGCAATGGCCCAGTTGTCTACCAGAGCAGCCTACAAAGCTATTTCAGTCATCTCACTTTGTATTCGTCTGAATCACAAGCTTTTAAGTGACTTAACCCATGTGTCCTGAACAAGTGTTAACAGTTCTGGGTTGTCAACTGCATAGGGCAGCCATCATGATCTGTGTAAAGACCACTGCTTAGTAACATCAGGAGGACAGCACAAGAGTCTGTATTATCTCTCCCAGCCCTCCAGCTGGGAGACCAGCATGCTCAAGGTAAAAGTCATAGCTGTTGCGGTGACATTAGCTTTTGCCATGACAAAGTGTAGTCTCCCAACAAGAAAATCTAAGAAAATAACTTGAAGTAGTTTTGCACTGCTTGATTTTGTTTAATTTTGTTTTGGAGGCTAAACTAGAGGATCATTAGATGTAGTTCTGATGGGAAGCAGGGATTTGGATATTTCCTAGGCAGATGTTCTCCAGCTACTTTGAGTGGATTTTTTTTCCCATGTGCTGTTCAGTTGAGATTTTGCTCAGAATTTCCTCCCCTCAAAATTTTGTTTCTGTTCTGCAGAAGTCCAGGAGCATTAACTGACAGCTGTTTTTCTTGAACTTCCTCAGCAGCTTCATAGCCTTTCCTATGCTGTCCTTTTCTCCATCAATATTAATAGAAAACTATCCTCACTTATTCTGTGGTCATTTCTGCGTCCCTGAAAACATGCGTAGAAATTATTTGCCAAAGATCTAGATCTCACTGCTGTAGTCTGTGATTCTGCAACACAGGGAAACTTTTTTGTGGTGGACCAGAAGTACAAATGTGGTGAATGTGACTGGAAAATCACCTTTCAAGTTCAAATTTTTTGTAAGTTTGAAGTGTGAACTTTCTTGGAAGAGATTCATTATGGTTGGTTTTGCTCTCAGTTGGACCAGACATCTATCGTCCTGTAACTCACATAAAATACCATGTAGGTCATGCTTATTTTCCTGCTAAACTACTTGTGCTTAGTCCTGATTTCAATTCAGCTCATACTATCAATGAAACTCATAATGAGCAAACTTGGTATGATATCTTCAGTGACAACAAAGTCTCTAACTATCTCAGCCTACTGTACCGAAAGTGGTGTGGTAACTCCACAAACACACATTTGTTGTAGGTACGTGTATCCCTCCATGGATCAGCTGGCCGAAATGCTTCCTGGAATCCTGAAACAGTTTGGGTGAGTGCAGAATTATTTACTTATTTTCCTCCTCCTTCTCTATTTGGCACACCAAAAGAACAGGGCAGAGCAGGTATTCACCTATGCTGCCCTGAAGCTTCGGTCTAGCAGTCTGGCATTTTGTTTGCTAGAATTATGGTTGTGTTTTTTTTTTTTTTAATTCCGCTGTTATAGATGGATCACTTTTGCCTTTCTTTCTGGAAGAGCTTATTTTTTTGGCCTTTTTTGAAATGTCTGTTTATTTTTAAACAGGAAGCAACTTTGAGTGAAATCCCATGTGCCTAATTTAGGGGCTTCCTCCAGTATTTTCTATGCGTTGCCCTCACAGGGGCAGGGCACAGACAATCCGTTCTTCCCACTGTAACAGCCCACACTTTCCTGTGCGGCTGGCAGAAACAACATGGTCCCATCTGAAGACAGTGTTTTGTTTCTGTGGCTTGAATGTCTGAGGGGGTCAGTCCAACCTCCTTAAGCCTCTTCTACTACCAAGTGCAGATGCCAGGTTGCCGATGTCATAGGACCTAGTGGCAGTGGCGCTCTGTTGTCTACCTGCAGCAAGTTTAGGTATTTGTCCTCCCTGAAAGTTCAGCTTTAGCAGGACCTGTAACCGAGAGAGGTACCTGCTCGGCAGAGTTGGTGCTCCTGGTACACAATGAAGAGCTCAGGGCAGATACCTCCAAGGGGTTGTCAGATCAAGCAGAGAAAGCCTGGCATTCAGGATTAGGCAGCCTTGGAGAACAGACAAGCTGGAGTGCTGGTGGGGGTTTAGTCCAAGACCAGCACCCCAATTTAGACATTGTTCATTTGTTGTAATTAGCTGTTACAGTACCTTGGACCAGTTTACCTCACTACCTTCTTAAGAGATCTGGCTTTTGAAATGCCCAATGTAAGGTACTGGGTTTGCAGTTTCTGCTCTTCCACTGAAAAAAAAAAAGCGAGTATTATGTCAGTACCTTGAAAATCGGTTATACTGGAGTGTACTTAAAGAGCCTTGATCTAATACTGCTAATGACAATGAAAACTACCCTCAAGTTTTTTCCTAAAAGCATTGTATAACCTGTTTTTCTGAGTGGTTTTGTCTAGTCTTCCCTTCCATGTATTTTCTAAGACCTTGAAGGCGATGCTTTAAAACCAATCTCAGTTAATGCAAATATTTGGTTTGTCTCTGCCCTGTTTGGTTATGAAACTTAAACTTAATCACCCCAGTGGCTGGATAGCGTGAGAGGTTTCCCTGCCAGCCTCCTGTTAGAGGATTCAGTGTCCCAGTTGGATAGCTGTACTGGGGAGGGCAGGGGAGCTTTGTATTTAGGCTGCAGATTTCAGGACTGTATCTTATAAGTTTTTCTGGCAGAGACTAACCATTTCCTTCCAGCATCAGAACAATGCTATGGTTGCTCAGTATATTTATTTAAGTTAAGTGAGAATTGCTGCTGACCTGCAATGCATGAGGACCAGCGTCCTGCAAATCGGCAGAAAACAAACCAGCTGCAATGCCGAGCTCCTTGCTGGGGGTTCATGGTTTGCCCAAGCTGCAACCCACCCTTCTGTAGATAGATGCTGGCAAGTGAAAGAGGAAGGCTGCTGCTGTGGGTTGATTTATTTTTGTTGCTGTCTTACTCATGGGTCTCTTCCGTTTTATTGCTGTGCAGGCTGAAGTCCGTTATAGGAATGGGAACTGGAGCCGGTGCCTACATCTTAACCAGATTTGCTGTAAGTTTAGTGGAGCTTCCCTAAAGCCTCTAACCTGATTTCCCCGACATGTTGTCACCCCTGTAGTGTGCACAGAGAATTCCTGCTCTGCCATGCCCATTTAAGTAAGCAGTTAGGCTTTTAAGTAAAATACCACAATCTACAGGGCAGCTAATTCAGAAGACCTAGATTTTCCATTTTAAGGCCTGGGCTCTACCCAGTTAATTTGCAGAAGGTTTTTTTAATGGGAGTTCTCTATTTAAACTGAGGGTGGAGAAGTTAAATCTTAATGTTCTCCAGCTGCTCAGTTGAATTGCTTTAATGAATTTTTTTTTTCCATACATACACTTGTTTTGTGCAAGATAAAGCTAGACCCACCGCCTTCCTCTGCAGGAGATTATTTGCAAATTTAAATTTTATGCTGACTGTCAAGTTGCAAAGGAGATGTGATGAATCTTAAACCTTTTGTTTCGCAGTTAAACCACGCAGAGATGGTGGAGGGATTAGTTCTCATTAACGTAAACCCTTGCGCTGAAGGTTGGATGGACTGGGCAGCAACTAAGGTAAACATTTTTAAGTTAGGAAAAATAAATCGTGCTGCAAGCCTGTCAAGCATGAGGAGCTGGGCAAGTTTGTGTGTCAAGGCATGGCTGCAGACACAAAATATCCCTGGCTAATTCCTTTGGGGTTTACTCTTCCTTTGGCAAACATACCCCCTGCAGAGCTAGTGATAAGTGCTTTGAGGAAACGGATACCTGTGGTATAATGGAGCTGCTGGGTATGGACAGTTCTTAAGAGCTAATACCTGCTGGGGAAAATCTAGTTTAACCTGGACACAGTGTAGTTTTGGAAACAGCTTTCTTTCAAGTAAACTTCAAGTATAGTGTAACATTCAGTTCCTTATTGTCCGTGGCTTTGTTTACTAGCACAGTCCAAAATGTGAACTAGAGCACAGAAAAATGTTTAGAACAACATCTTCCAGGTTTCAATCATCTAGCTGTGTCTTAGATGCCAAAAAGATTCAGAAAAGGCCATTAGCTGTGGTAACTGTGGACAGATTATTCATACAACTGGACTTTCAGGTGAAAATGTTCACAGACAAAGAAGCTCCTATTAACAATATTCTTTTGTAGTTCTAAGAAATATTGCAGTGTGGGAAAACAGGTGCTGAGAACTAGTTTCAAAAATCTTCCTGAAACCAGTATATATAAATAAGTATAAATGTTACATTACTCAGATTTAACCTGTTAAAACATTTTTCAAGGTAAACTGATGGAAGGCACTTTGTATCATTCAGGGTCATGTTTAAGTGAACAGCAGTTGTTATAAACATTGAGAAGTACAAAATTTAGTATGTCATCTTTTAACCACACTTAGTCAACCCACTGTAAGTGTCTAGGGTGATATTAAATGTAATGACAACCTTATAATACTAGGAGAAACTTTCCAGAGCTGGGATGTAACATTCTTTCAAGGCTTAGTTACTCATTTTCTTTAAATAATTTTGCATACCAGTTTATTTTGACTTTAATCTGGAAGTATATTTAGTAACTCTTCTACATTGAGAGGTACCAGTTGACCCAGTTTGATTATCTCACCCAGTGTCTCACTGTAATTAAATTCTTCCATATCTGTGCCTCTGCCTTCCACCTCTCAGTCAGTATTGCTGATCTAAGAGTACAGCAGGTGCCCCATATCCTGCTGTCCTTCCAAAGCAAGAGCACATACTCTGGGACTTGAGCTTTAGGTACCAGCTCCAATGTATTGTCAGTGTGGCTACGCAGTGAGGTTAAATGACACCCATCCAGCTGGCTTGCTTGGTGTTCTTGCAGGGACTGATTCTATATATACCTATGTCACTAGTAGTCTGTTCCCAGTGTAACTGTGTTAGTAAAGACTTCTTGTGAGAACGACTCAAAAAATCCAACCCTTAATGGTGTTTTAGTTGGAGAAGAACAGCAAAGAAACATCCATTCATCTGCTTATGGGTAATTGAAAGGTTTCAATTGTTCAAGGATGTTTTGATATCAGATACTTAGATAATCTTAATGTTCAGATTTCAGGTTGGACAAACGCTTTACCAGACATGGTCATTTCACATCTTTTTGGAAAGGTAAGGATGTTCAAAAGATTCCTCTGTATTGTCATCTGTATTTCCCTCCTGGGGCTGGGAGGAGGGGAGAAGCCTTCGCCTGAACAACAAAGTACAAAGTTAAGCTGTGAGATAGGATTCATATTTGTGTTCCCAGTATATTGGAGCTGGTATGCTGCCATGGGGCTTGCTATGTCCCAACAACTCAAGTACATCTCAGTCATCACAACTCTAGTAGGGGCAGCTCCTTGTTTAGACAGCCAGCGTTTAAACATGAGTATAAGCATTACAGAATCGCAGAATGTTCAGAGTTGGAAGGGACCTCTGTGGGTCATCTAGTCCAACCCTCCTGCCAAAGCAGGGTCACCTACAGCAGGCTGCAGAGGACCTTGTCCAGGCAGGTCTTGAATATCTCCCAAGAAGGAGACTCCATAGCCTCCCTGGGCAGCCTATTCCAGTGCTCTGTCACCCTCAGAGGGAAGTTCCTCCTCATGTTCAGACAGAACTTCCTATCCTTCAGTTTGTGCTTGTTGACGCTTGTCCTGTCGCTGGGCACCACTGAAGAGTCAGGCCCCATCCTCTTGACACCCACCCTTAAGATATTTGTAGGCATTTATAAAGTCCCCTCTCAGCTTTCTCTTCATATGTGCTCATGTTCTGAGCAGAATTACCCCACAGATTTTTTTTTTGATACCATAATACACTTGTAACTCTGGGAAAGCTGGTTAGTAGTACTAATGGTGCTCTTCAGTGAAAGCCTACTTTAATGGAAGTGCTATGCTTTTTTCTGATGCTACTTTGCTGTGCTTGAAACTGTTAGTAAATGCAATAGAAAACTCCATTCCAGGAGAGCAAGGAACTAATATATACAAACTTTAGAACCAAACTGTGTGAAAATGTTAGTGATTGAAATCCTTGAAGCTTAGTTATTTGCTATTGTGAAATTGAGTTCCAGATTACATATGTTTGTAAGCTTTCAACATCTGCTTTACCCTGAGACATTTATTGAGCTTCTTACCCTTAATTTTAAAAACCTCACATTTGTCTGACTGTAACCATCTGCGCTACAGCTACATGTTTTGCAATCGTAAGATCTTGACTTTACAACATATTGAAGTTTTAAAGCAACAAAATGTGGTACTGCAATCAGAGGCTAATGTTAATTCTGGGTGACACGACTGGGTGTTGGAAGTTGTCCCTTCCCTAAAGGTGCACTCCTGTTCTGTAGATATGAGTCTGATTCACAACTGCTGTGCTGTGTCTTAAGATCCTTTCAGAAAATAGCCCCTATTCTGAACAATTCTGTCTCCACTGTAGGAAGAGATTCACAGCAACCATGACCTGATCCATACTTATCGTCAGCATATTATTAATGATATGAATCAAACCAACCTTCATCTCTTTGTCAACTCTTACAACAGGTAAATATATTAACCTGATTTCTAACTGGAAACTGTTTTAACAGGCTGGCCAAATCTTAGAGCCAGTATTACTTGTGTGGTGGAGTTATTTGTGCTCGCCCAGTATAAAGTTCTACTTGACAGTGCCTTTAAGGATCTCAGGTGGCTTGCTTACAGGACAAGGACCGTGTGCATTTGTGGGGAGATAGATGGTACATGGGGACTGAGCTAAGACATTGATACTTCAGGCTAAAGTGGTTCTCTATCACTTGTGGAGGCTCCAATGTATATCAGATGAAATTAACATGTGTGAATGTCTGTGCTGTCTCTACACGAAAGAATATGGAAGTATCTGTAAAATTTCAGTGTATTAAGAGCCTTTGTCCTCTCCATTTTTTTCAGTCGACGAGACCTAGAGATTGAGCGCCCTGTTCCTGGAGTAAATGTTGTCACCCTTCAGTAAGTATCTTATTTTCTACTAGTTCACTTGTACACAATGTGAGCGAAGAGGTGTGGTCAGTGGGTGCATTGCGTGTGCATTGCAGAGCTGTAGCTGAATGTGCTTGTGTGCTAGAAAAGGATCTTGTAACTTTGTCTAGGACATAAGGTTAGTGCAAGTCAGGGACCACCATTAGGAAGACTTCCCTTCTTCACACTTCAGAGTCATACTAGCTGAAATGGAAAGTTAAGTAGTTCCTGTCACTGTGTGTCTGCAAACTTAAGCTTACAGAGTAAGTACTTGAAAAGTAGATGTACTTAGCTTCACCTGGAAATATGACCTAGCTAATGGAAACTATAGCTCTGAATGCACTTAAGCTGTGCCTATGCAGCAAAGAAAACAAACAAAACCAATTAAAAAAAAAAAGTTGGGAAGATGGAGCAGGTATGAGAATAATTATCTGCCAGATCTTCTGCTAGTAGCTTTTCACTTGTGCTGCAGCTTGTGCAGCAAAGCAGTTGTCAAGTCCTTCTCTGCTCAGGTGCTGTTTTTTATCCACAGGAGACTTTGAGACTCTGCTCCTCTGCCAGTCTGACATTGGATGGACAGGTCCAAAAGTTGGAGCACAGGGAGCAGGGGAGGTGGGGGTGAGACTTTGGTGCTGATGCCCACATTCAGTTTCTTATGAAAGAAGGGGTAAGAGCACTAGCTGATTGCTACGAGGTGGGGAGAAGGACAGGTTCTCAGGCGAGGTATTGGAGCATGTCGGTAGATCTGCAGCTAATACAGTGGATTTGATGTGTGTTTAAGCTGTCTGGAATACAAAACAAATCATTTTCACATGTTTAGCTGTCTCAGCCTTCCAGCCACACAAAATGCAGCTTAGGGTGAGTCCGGGCCAGATCACAGAGATAATACTGCTTTTGTATGTTTCCTTGCAGATGCCCTGTGCTCCTGGTTGTTGGTGACAGTTCCCCGGCGGTGGATGCCGTGGTGCGTATATTGGGCTGTCTTTGCCACCGTGCTGGTGGGCAGGCCAAGGAGCTGGGTGAAGCTGGCAGAGCTCACGCCTGCGCAGTGACCTTGCTGGCTATCAGTCCAGCCCAGCTGGCTCTCCTCTTTCAGACCGCCGGAGAGCTGCTGTTAATTCCTGGCTGTTTGTCCCCTCTGTCTGTGCGCTGTTATTTAATAGCTACTGCATTAGGAACAATTGCCACAGCAGTTCCAGTGAACTGCAAATGTTTTCCTTCAGCAAGGAATCTGCTGCTGGTATTTGGACTTGTTCTGTGGGGTTGGAGTTCTGCCCTGGGTCACTATGGAAGCGAAGAGCTTTTTTGACCATTGTAACTCTCCCGGATGACTGGATGACTTCAAATGTTGCGCTGTTATGGGCATGCCCAGTCTGCTGGCCTGTGGCCATACGGCTGCTCACCACTTGGGACGCTACCAGATGACCCCACATCACAAGATAAACAACACTTGTTGCCATTGGAGACCCAAAAACAGATTAAAAAAATCTCTAATTCCCAACTAATGGGTTGGTTTGCACATGGAAAAGAATACTGTTGGAAATGTGAACTGGCCTACTTCAGTTTAAAGATGTATATGTGTGTACATAGTCTTTATACAGAAGCCTAAGATACCCAGTTTAGTCTGTATTAAGCCAGAAAACAAGTTATTTACTGTTTTCATCCAACGATTCATAGTATTTTTGTATAGTGCCTTACACTGCTGTTCTTTAATACAGGTTGAATGCAACTCAAAGCTGGACCCAACAAGGACCACGCTTCTGAAGGTAATAACAAAAGCTGGTTTTTTTTTAAATAAATGTTCCCCTCACTTATATCACTAGATTAACTAAAAAAGCAAAACCAGAGCAATGTGCTGCAGTACAGATAACACGGTGAGAATCCAGTTCTGATGTGGAAAGGAAGTTCCTTCAGGGTAAGCGTGTTTTAGTGGGATAAACCAGACTAGGGGCTGCTTGTCAAGGTTAACAGGGAATTCCTCAGCTCCTCAATTTCAAAACACTAAGGGTGATATTTGAAATGTTCAGTATTTCACATACCCATAATGAATTTGACAAGAGTAGGCAAAGCTGATCTAGAGGTATTTTGAAAGGCTTGAAAAAGCCTTCAGCAGAGTGGAAGTGCAAACCGGCTCGTTCTGTTCCTGTGCTTGCCTGTCCCTCAACATCAGTGTCAGATGAATAGACAGCTGATCTATCAGCCACGGTTTTGTCATCCTGCCTTCTGTGTGGACACAGTCCAGGACATCTTACTGTTGGAAATGACACTCATATTTTCCAAAGGGTTGATAAAATGCACTTCCAAACAGCAAAGCATTGTGCAAAGGCTTTGGCTGATACTTGGCATTCAGAGTATGAGTGCAATCTTCACATCGTTACTGTTGAACGAAGATGCAATGAGTGTAATAGCATGCAACCAGGGAAACAAGTTTGGTCACGCTTCTGCTGCAAACTTTTACTGCATCGCTATTGAAGTGGTCAATGAAAATGGTAATAAACAATTGTTTAAGTGCGTTTTCCTGCTAACATTGGGGAGTTACAGTGCTGATGTACGATGTGAACATGGCAGACTGACCCTAAGGAAAAATCTGATATTATCTCAAAAGCACTATCAGTGGCCAGCCTTTGCTCAGTCCGGGGATACAAGATACCAGGTCCTGCTACAGGCCTGTTTTGCTGCTAACTAATCCCAGATAGAATTTGGGGTTTCCTGTAATTCACAACTCTACTGTTTTCAGCTTGTGGTGTTCCTTGGAACAGGACTGTTTTTGTTGGGTTTGCTTTGAGGGGTGGAGTGGCAGGAAAAATGAAGCGCTCCAAAAATATTGCATGTGCTCAAGATAGCTTTTCTAATTTGGCTTTCCCTGCTTCCCTTGGCAAGTCAGGCTGATGCTTACCATTCGCAATCTCAGCAAATCATTTTTGCCCCCTCGCCTCTGAGGTTTAGGTGTTTGTTCTCTCTCCCCTGTTTGTCATTCAGGTCAATACCGAGTCACATTATTGTAGTTCAGAGCTGAACTTGTAACCAGGACTAACAGACTAGTTTCTAAGAAACTGGCAATGACTGCCTAGCAAAAATCATTTATTTGTAGCTCCAGCTGATGCTTTGCCCTGAGGGTCAAGACACTTTGGGGTTTTCTGGGGTGCAGTCATAGCTTGTATAAACGTTTAACTGCTTGCTTTAATATCTTCATGTGTGTGTACGTTACTGACACAACAAAAGGAAATGTTTTTCTGCCAGACAGCTAAAAAGGTCATTTTCATATATCCTGAGCATGAATGAGTTCCTCTGGCATTACACTAACTGGCTCTTCTCATCCCTGTTTCAGATGGCTGACTGCGGTGGGCTCCCTCAAGTTTCCCAGGTAGGATCTGGCTGACGGAAATCCTCCTAATCCTGTTCTGCCGTGTCACTGCAACAAATGGGTGTTTTCCTGTAGGGTACTTGCTGTTCCCGAATGTCAGCCAAAAGGATGGTTATGATTTCACGAGTAATGATGTCAGTTGGTCATCTGAGCTTTCTTTTTTCTTTAAAGACCAATGAAGCACAAAATTAAGACTGGGAGGGGATATTATTTCCGCTAATCAAGTCTTAACCAAGTAAAGGTCTGAGGCATAATACCTCTGCATTCCCGCCTATCTACTAAGCTAACATGAATTAAGGCTTGAGCACTAGTGTTTTAAAAACATTCTTTTTTGGACTATTTATAGTACAGATCAGGAAAGTGGGAGTCAAGAAATAACAATGCTGTGTTCTTGTATACACTGACCCAGCTTGACTAAGAATGAACTGAAGTTTCTGAAATATATTTAGGCATAAATTCCAAGGCTGCTAATAAAAGCAGGCTGAGAAAGTTAAAATTTACCTATGCCCTAGTATTGCTTCACTAAAACCAGCTGACCTGTAAATCAGCTTTAGGAAGTGATGTTTTCTAAACAGATTTATAAATATAATGTGGTGTTTGCAAGCATAAGGAAAAAAAAATGAATTTATAATTCCCTGCAGTTGAGGAGTCCCTGTCCAGGCAGTGTGTGCTTTAACAGTGGGAGAGGGGAAAAGGCTTTTTCTAAAGCCACACAGGAGTATGTGCATTACTTCTGTTATGGAGGGTCCATTCTTTGCACGGATTCAGATAGAATTATGCAAAAACTATAGCTAATATTGGCATGTGCAATAATTGAGATTGAGGCTTATTTGGCAACTGTCAGCAGCAGAGTAAAACAGTGAGTGCCTCATTACAAGAGTGTCATAGGTGCTTGGGCCTGTGTATTCCTAAAAGCTTTTTTGCCCTGTAAACAGAGCTGTCGGCTCTGAGTATGTTCTCTGCTGATTAGCAATTTCTCAGTTATTGACCCTGTATGAACTGCCTTGTATATTTTGTGAGGCCTGTTCTTTTACTTTGGCTCACCTGCCTCAGTAACTGCATGAGCCAAGTTTGGGCCAGGCTTAGACCACTTGCAGTCACTTCTCTGGAAATCTCATTGGCAAATGCACGTGTCCATTTGGTAAAATAATGGGGGAGGGGAGCAGACTAGGGAGGGGAATAGTGGAGTTTTCTCATCTGAATGAAATTTCTGGACATTCAGTAAAACCTAGAGAATATTTAAGATGTCCCTGTTAAGATAGGACATCTTTGGCATCTATAACATTGCTAAGCACTGCATACAATAATACTCTTTCTTTTGCAGCCTGCCAAGCTTGCAGAAGCCTTCAAATATTTTGTTCAGGGAATGGGATACAGTAAGTATCAGTTTTATGGAATGTTTCACCTGGCTATCAAAGTTCGTTGGGCATCTAAGCACCCAGAGAGTCTTATGATCCCAGATGTGTGATTTTTTGCTCTGTTGGATATGTGTTTGCAAAGGAAAAAAAAAAACACCTATGGTGTCTGGGTAAAGGGTTTTTTAGACCAATTTATGTTACTAAATAGTAGAGAGCTTTTTATACAGCTTATTCCCACAAATACTTACTTTACTTTATCTTGATAGCTTTAAGGTGGATATTTGTAATAGTGTTCCCTCGTTGCATCAGATGAGATGATTCATATGCTGCACACATTTAAAACCTTGTTAGTTCAGAGACTTCTTTAGCTTGCAGCTGTATGTCCTTCGTGTGTGTGCTTCTCACAACTGCTGTTGTGTAGATGCATTGCTAGCCTGGGCTTCCAGCAAAGGTTAAATTTCTGAAAGTAATGGGAGATCAAGCGAGTCTTAGTTTTCCTCTGGCTCACTGCAGCCACAGCAACATGCCTCAAAGCTCTGTCTCAAATCCCGTAGCCCTGGTCACCAATCTTGCCTTAGTAATTTGGGCTCATGAACTTGTGTGCTTGGAGCAGTGCTAATTATTCTGCACATGAAGCCACCATGAACAGTATAAATTGAACCCTGAAGGCTGCTCCAAGGGTGGTTAGGACTGGAGAGGAAGGCAAGGGCTTCCTTCCAAGCCCATGAAGCAAGGCATTAACAAAGGACTCTTCTTCCAGTCCCCTCTGCTAGCATGACCAGGCTGATGAGGTCCCGCACTGCTTCTGGCTCCAGCGTAACCTCTTTGGAAGGACAGAGGAGCCGGTCTCACACCGGGGAAGGCACAAGGAGCCGGTCTCACACCGGGGAGGGAACGAGGAGCCGATCCCACACTGGGGACGGTGCCAGGAACCGCTCCCACACAGACACGCGCATCGAGCTGACACCGAACTCGGCAAGCAACGCTGAACAATCAGGCCCCAAGTCCATGGAGGTGTCCTGTTAGATGGCTGTGGGAGGTTTAAACTGGTAAAGTGTGAAGAAGTAGTGGATGCCCCCTGTGTATCACAAAACCATAACTGGTATTAATCTCAAGCTATTTTGTAGGATGTACTCTGTTCACCAGGGTCTGACAGGGACCAAAGAAAAGAAGCATCTCATTTGCTCTACTGTTATTTTTGTAACTCAGACAGTTGCTGCTATTGTGCCCTCCTTCAATGGATGCCAAATTCTAAAGGATACTTGCCAAAAGCTGATGTGGTTGTAAACACTTCAGAGTCAAACCAGGCTTGCTTAATATCCTCCTTGAAAATCAAATCTGTTACATGCCCCTTTATCTCTTATTCTCTTGAAGTAAACTGGCACAATTTGAGGCAAGTTTCAGAGGGGGAGGAAAAAAAAATCACTGTTATGGATGGCTTTTAAAAAAAGAAATGAAACAAATGTGTTATGGCCTCGTGTTGAAGCTGGAGTCGATTTTATTGTATATAGCTTGACTTCAAATGATAGAGAAGTTAATGTATCGTGCATTTATAGGCCTTCTAATTCATTAGTATTCAAGCCTGTTTTCCTATGTACAATAATATACTACTAAAATAGGCAATTTTGATGTGACTTTGAGACAAAGTAAATCTTTAAACTTTTTTATTTCACTTTTTTGAGATTTAGTTTCCAGTCTTACTTTCCTTCCCCCCTTCTAGACCCTAAAACCCGCTTAGCCAAATGAGGACAGGATTTAAATTGAGTAAGTAAGGTAGCATTCCTCTTTGGGATCTTGGACCAAAGGGTTTACCATACTGCAAAAATTGGTTTAGTTGTAATAAGTAGGGTAGCCGCACATGCCAGCAAAGCAGAAGCAGCTTGATTTTTCCTTCAGACAGCTTCTTATCTTTGCAGCTCAAGTTTGTGTCCAGCACAATTGTGATAAATTTGGAATTCTGTAAGCTAAGCAAGATCCAGCTGTTCTTTGTCAGGAGAGATGAATAACTGTGGGATGGCATGTAATTAGATACTGTACATTCAACTGCCACTAATTACTAGATTTGAAACTGATGAGATCTCACTGGTGCTGAGAAGTGTATTCCACAATGTGGTGGAGAGACAACACTGTATCTGTGAAATACAGTGCTTAATGACTGCATAAATGTAGTGGTCTGCTGGTTCTGCATCTTTATGTAGCCTCCTGATACCTTGGGTTACTCTCTTTGATGCTAGTGGCTTAATACCTTTCCACCAGTCAGGTTTTTACAGTTGGGTGTTCTGAAGTTGGTCCCGTAGGTAACGGGACAGGATTTCCTGAGCTCCAGTGCATACCTGTTGCATTGCAGTCCTCTCACAAACAAGAAAACTCAAATGCCGAGCAATTAAATATCAAGTGTTAATACTTTGGGAGTGCTTGTTCAGAAGAACATCTAGGTTACTTTATATTGACTAACTTCAGCTCTTGTGTAGAATATCCGTAACAGTTTGTGGGAAGAAAAGACAATTTCCAGAAAGAATAAAGCTATTGTGTAAAGTCTATCAAGAAAAGTTTCTTAATGAAGTATTTGTATTTATTTCAAAACAAATAAATTTGTAACTTTGCAATGTCTGTCTTAATGTTTTAGCAGTACAGTAGTCTTTCTCAGTGGGAGTGTGTTCTTGTCACCCATTCGTATCAACGAAATCTTTTTTTTCGCTCATATCTCTGCCCTTCCCTACTTTGCACTCAGAACTTTTTTTTTTCACTCCAGCCTACTATTTATGCTGAGAAAACACAATACCTTTCAATATTAGGTGTGACTGGCTATTCAAAGTACTAAAGGAGAATTTTGCTCTAACAAATGCATAACAAAGTTGAGGGCTTGTGATGGAGTAGTATTTATTTGCCATTTGAAATTTTCTTTGTCTCCCTAGTATGCGCTAGACAGTACTATAGATCTGTGCTTTGTGCACTGACTTTTTCACTGGAGTTTGCCATGTTCATTCCATCCTTTCTGTTCCCAGTCTGATCTGTAAATCTGCTGATGTGCAACATGTTCCTCACCAGTCTCCAGAGGTATATAGGCCTCCTGACTGAAATTGCAGGTGCCACTGAGTTTCTCAAAGCTGTTCTTGGACCTCTTGGAAGAACCTAACTTCAGAAAAGGAGAGAAGATTAACCCTTCACAAACAAGGTTTAAAAGGACTCCTCAAATACAAGAGAGGAATCTAAAGCTGCTGGAAAGAATTAAAAAACTCTTACTTCTGCTTTAAGGAGGGAAATGTGGTTGTCCTTTTTCACCTTAAGCTTCTATTTATCTCACTGGTTTCCTGTTAAGATTGAGGCTTTCTGTAACTTGAGCAGTGTCTGCCCTTCACAGGGAAGCATCCCTCTGTGGGTTTGCAAGGCTCCCTTCTGTGTGCTACTGGGGAGCTGGAAGCATGGATGCTGTTCAGTGTGGAGGGTAGATAGGAAATAACAGGAGTGCGGTCACCAGAAGGGCTCTGCTGTGCTTGCTGCATTGGGACCTTTGTGAGGATGTAGTGCCCTTATCTAGTGACTCATTTAACATACTAGGGTTTTCAGGGACAGGTGCGTTTGTGGCTTTACTGGACCTATTTTAGGCTGCTCCTTCCTCATGTATGTCAAAAAATCCTATGATAGGAAGAGGCAAAAGCAAATATTTGACATGTCTGAGCCAAGGCTCTTCTAAATGTGATGATTCAGCAGTCATGATTGGACTGATACCAGCAAAGGGCTTGATTTGGTTAACCACAGCCTGTGCCAGTGAAAACAGGAGGAACCTGTGCCAACTCATCTTACAAAAGAAGGGCAAAGTTATGCTTTTTGCTGAGCTGTTCTGGGAATGGCTAATCATTCCTTCCACAAGGACACCATGGTGTGCCTGTCAAGCCTAGGGAGTTTATTTTTGTTTAAAGATGAGGAATGCATTCAAGCATTCTTGCAGCATAAAGGGATCCGCGAGCTCTTCTGAGCAGCAAGGAGTTGCTAGGACCACTATAAATGTCAGCTTTGCAACAAAAAGTATTCATTTGGCAAGGAACAGTGTGTACCTGTACAGAAAAGCTGGAGTACAGTACCGAGGAGTGGTGTCTTACAAGGAGTTACAGTTCCTCTTTCCCGCGCAGATTTATTGGAAATTTTTATAAAACCCCTTCCTAGAGCTAGCAAGTTCTGCATTATACTTGGAGACAGAGTTAGCCTGGATACTGTAGTGTCATTAAACTAGAAAAGATGAGGTAGGGTTTCACCTTTTTCTCAAAGATTGAATGGCCACCACAGAGCTAGGAGCTCCTGTAGCATAGAGGAGATTCAGACTGGATAATGGGAGGTTTCCAGAAAAGAAATAGTTCAACCTTCACATTGTTTTTGGGGTTATTCAGGGTGGAAGAGGAGAATGAGCTCTCGGGGACCAAGAGGCTCCCTAATTGCATCAGTATAGCTCAATACCAAATCTTTTCTGTAGTGGTGTTCTTTAAAACCACTAGTAGAAAGGATGTCATTGCTGGAATCTGAGTTTTTTCCACCTCTGCCTGGGCCTCGACATCTACTGTACAAAACATGGCTAAACTTGAAGGTGGCTTTCCCCCTCCCTGCCCTTGCGGAGGAGTGGAAGAGGATGTGCCCATACCACATCATCGCAGTAGGACTTTTGTGCTGAAGGATGCTGCTTTCCTCTTTAAAAGTCTCTAGAGACTGAACAGCTGGAAACTTTAACCTAGATGTGTTTTGGGGGTTTATGATTCATGTCCTGTGTTGCAAGAGATGGACTGAGCTGGGGAGAAAATAGTTTACAGCAAAGCTGCTTATTTTTTCTCTCCAGTGCTGGAATCCTCTTCCTGTCTGTTTTTGCATCTTGGGCCGAGTATCTGTTGCAATCCTCGGCGTGTCGGTAACACGGTTTGTTGTTTCTACTGCAGCAACACATTGAGCAGTGTCTCGCAAGTGCTGCTTGCAACTTGGTCCTCCCCCTTCCCATCAGCCGTCTGCTTTTTTTGCACTACTTTGTACTATTCTGCACCATTTCACACTCACTGGAATTCACTGGAACCAGAGGTCTCTCTAGGTCTGTACATATGAACAGCTGTTTTGATGTGTGGATTTAGCATTTCCACTGAACCAACTATAGGCTTTATGTTGATAGCTGATCACTGCTACCCCTGATGTTTAAGTAACTGAGTGAAAGGATGTCAGGGTATTTTAAGGGATCAACCCTTCCCCCCCAGTGCTTTGTAACAGACAGACACAGCCTCTCACTGTTTCCATCTATTAATTCATTAAGGGCTCCATTCATTTTATAAACAACACAGCTGCTGACCAGTGTTGGGGGGAAAAAAGGGAGAGGGAAAAAAAAGTCCCCCCCAAAAAAAAAAAAAAGGCTTCTGCTTGCAACTGCCAGACAGTTCAATGTCTGTTCTGTGCAACACAGCATGGGGATCATTTGCTCACAAAGCACCTCCTGGGGGCTGGAGGAGAGTTGTTGTTTGGATGTTACTAAAGAGGAAGCCCCCCCACCTTGCATATTTTTGGCACTGGTGACTGTGGGATGGACATCAGACCCTGGATTCAGACATCATTGGGCATCTCCAGAAGAGCCCAAGGTTTGGCCAGGGAGATAGCAGGCAGCTCTTCCTTCGCAAGCAGCACCACAAAGGTGAGGTGTGACCGGGAGCAGAGTTGGAAAACATATCCTTGGGTGACCCACCACTGTCTGCAATTGCTCATGGCTGAAGTGGATTATGGTATTCAGGTCAAGGTCAGCGTTCAAAGGGGGCTGGGGGAGGGAAGCGCTGTTTGCTGAGCGGTTGCGCTCAGGGAGGGCTAGGGCAGCTCCAGTCAAAGCCTACGTGAGCAATAGCACTCGGAAGAGAGCAAGAGCTAACACCAACCTGGATGTTGCAGCCCCTGGCTCTCTGTGTGTGTGGATGTGTGTGTGTACACATGTGTGTGCGTGCAGGTCCTCAGGAGGCTCAGCACCCTGCACGCAGCAAGATGGGCAGGGAAGATGAAGCTGCTGAGCTGTGGTTTCACCCATGGTGAACCTGGCATCGGCATGGGGCATGGACAACCTGCTCACAGGGCTTGGCGAGCCTGCCCCAATTAAAGGTGCCACCCAGCCCCTCGTGCACCGGTGTCATGCACGCAGTCAGACCCCTTTGCCTTATTTGCATGTTTCCAGCTGGGATATGGTCATTTATTGACTGATTGCAATGTTTTTTCATTTATTTTTAATGATAACCAGTGACCAAATAAAAAAAATCATAGTTCCTTACCCCAGCTGCCAATGTTAAACTTTGACCCTGTGGTGATTCTCTCCCTGTCACTCGTGCGGGCTTGGAGCAGGGGAGTTCATACAGAAGTAGAGCCTAGCATAGGGTCAACACTTTATTTGGAAAGTGCAAAGTATTTAGGAGCGGGTGGGTTTTCCAGACAGGCTAGTTCAAATGTGGTGGCTGAGAAAGCAGCCAGGAAGCCCTTCATGCAAGATCCTGTGCTTGGCAGCTGCCATATGTGCACGCAGAAGATGCAGAGG